TTACCAAAAGGTCACTAAGAAAAACTATGTTTCCTAAAATGTACAAGTCAACATTTCCTGAAGGACATTAGGGCAAATTTAAAGCAAAAACGGAAATCAGAAAAAATGAACTTTAACCACAATAAGATATGAAGAAAATGTCTTTAAAGTATCACAGTGAAAGATACTGCCCCACAACGTTCGTTTAAAAAGAAAAAATAGGTCCAAGTGTGGTGGCTCATGCCTGTAATACCAACACTGTCAGAAGCCAAGACAAGAGGATCACTTGAGGCCAGAAGTTCAAGGCTGCAGTGAGCCATGATTGTGACACTGCACTCCAGTCAGGGTGACGAAGGAAACCATGTATAAAAAAATGAAAGAATAAAAAATACTTTCAGATTATTCAAAGAAGAGGAACATTCTTAATTGGTTATAACTTTAAACTGCTCATCAGGGAAGAATTTATCCCAAAGCTTCAGCACTAGGTCTGATATTATACTTACATTAAAGTTATCAGTATTCTTCATTTTGGGGTTTTGTCTATTTTCTGTGGATCCTGTGAAATTGCTTCTAAGAGCTCACTGAAAACTAGAATGGCAGATAGTGAAATACTTATTAAAAATTCCTGAAGAGGATTTTATGATTTCCTCTGAAACAAGTTAGTCTCCAGGTTCCAAAGTGTGGGAACATTATTTTCAAATCATTCGACACTCCAAATTTGAGCAGTCATCTGTGCTTGCTGTATGGCTGTCCAGAAGTTGATACAGCATTGAAGAGCTGAGCAAAGGAAAAGAAGGGGTCTTGGGGCAGCCTATGAAGTTTGGGTGCAGTTCAAGTCAGTAAGGTTTTTGTTGTTGTTGTTTTTAAAGCATTACCAAATTAAGGAAACTATAAAGTCTTGTTTGTAAATTACTTGTTGCCCTTTGAGCTTTCAGTTTGGTTCTAGCAATGCTGTCTGTGCATTCCCAGAAGCACAACATACAAAGAGCTCAGTGCTAATAACGAAGTACAATTATAATGTGAATATTTGGGCAAATCACTGCTTTTCACATGGGTGAGGATAAACATTTTGGACATTGGTTAACAGTTTTTAAAAGCATAATGTTAGGGCCAGGCACAGTGGCTCACGCCTGTAATACCAGCACTTTGGGAGACCAATGTGGGAGGATCACCTGAGGTCAGGAGTTCAAGACCGGCCTGAACAACATGGTGAAACCCATCTCTACTAGAAATGCAAAATCAGCCAGGCATGGTGGCATATGCCTGTAATCTCAGCTACTTAGGAGGCTGAGGCAGGAGAACTACCTGAACCCGGGAAGTGGAGATTGCAGCCAGCCAGGATCACACCACTGCACTCTGGCCTAGGCAAAAAGAGCAAAACTCCATCTCAAAAAATAAAAAAATAAGTTATAGTAAATATAATTCTCCTAGCTCTTAGGTTCAGAGCTCCTCACTGCTAGCCCATGCAGCACCATCATACAAATTCGAGGAAGGTGCCCCTTTCTCCTGGTGCTTCACTCTCATCTCCTGGGAAGATNAAAATCAGCCAGGCATGGTGGCATATGCCTGTAATCTCAGCTACTTAGGAGGCTGAGGCAGGAGAACTACCTGAACCCGGGAAGTGGAGATTGCAGCCAGCCAGGATCACACCACTGCACTCTGGCCTAGGCAAAAAAAGCAAAACTCCATCTCAAAAAAAAAAAAAAAAAAAAAAGTATAATGTTAGAAGTCAGTGTCTTTTTGGAAGGCATGATTGTCTGGATCACAAATCTTTCATTTGCCATTCTATTAATATGTTTTTCTCCCTTTTTATCCAGCTTGGCTCAACTAATCACTAGAAGCTCAAGAATGAAATAAAAACTCCCCAGATGCTCCCTAGACTCAGTTCAGTAATTGACATTTCTGGAAGGAGTGTATGATTTTGATTCCATATACTCTGAGCCATAAAACCACACATATTGAAGAGGAAGGATGGATAGGGGTAAGAAGAAGATTAGTTAATAATATTGGTACCAGGGCTTTGTTGCTTTTTTTCTACTGAGCCTCTAAAGCTGGGTTATCAGATTTGGAAACAGTGTAGAGAAGGGAGCCTTTGGACTTGGGGCTCCAAGAGAATGGGGCCTTGAACACACACAGTCAGATTTGGGGCAAAGGGGGCTAAGATAATAGAAAAAAGTACAGGACCTTGGGAGGTCTGGTCCGCTTGCCAGTCCTGGCTCAGGCATCAGTGTTCAGGCTCTCGGGCTAGAACAGTGTCCTGGTGAAGACTACAGCTGAAGTGACCTTATGGGGCCCAAGGGCCTGAAGCATCTGGTGGTGTTTCTGGTGGTGTGCCCCGTAACTGACCCTGATCTACAAGTAACCCTTCAGTGCCCAATCAACATATTTCTTCATAAAACCTTGAAAAATGATCCAGATCTGAGATAGGTTTGCATCTGAGAGTTAAATCATAATTTGTCAGTAACATATTTTAATTAAATAGACAACATAACTCTGAAGTCTAATTCAAGTGACATGTGAGATCTCAATACATTAATCTCCTGGCACACTGGCACACCAGGAGTATATCTGTCCTTTCTAATTTCTGAACATTTAGGAATCCTGTTATATCATTTTAAAATCTGGATTCAAGCGAATCTAGGATATTTACATAATACATTAAATTGTTTTCATCAGTGTCATTATGAAAGTGAGTATTTCTCTGAAATGACTTAAGAGTAGTCAAGCTTCTAACCCAACCAAAACACGACTTTGCACCTGGAAGTTGATATGAACAGTGAGATCATATGTAATGATTAATCAATTGTAAATCCTATTACCTGAAAAATTCAGAATTACTGACGTTTTTAAAATTGCTTTTTTGATTTATTTCTCTGTCATTCATGTGTCTCTTTCTGTTTCCATATTTGGCACTTTAATAAATGTCAAAAATGCTCCCAAAGTCATTCATGTGATAGATAGTATCTCTAAAGTGAACAATTGTCTCCTATCACTTGTGGATTTTTTAAATCTCTTTTCCCATCTGTCTTTCTACAGTGCATTAATTCTACATTCCTAATTCCTGAAAAGCAACCAGCACAGTTTTAAAGCATGTTGCTATCCAATTCAAATTGTATTTCTGATGATTTGATTAAAAACTACAAAGAACTACTTTCAACAAAAGCTGCTTATAGTGGAACACAAACATTTGTGAAGCAGGCATGCAGTACTTAACCTGCACTCACAGCTTTAGAGGGAAATATATTCGAGGGAGGAATTAATCACAAACGAAATCCCACCCTTGGGCCTCGTTAGACAATCCATCAAGGAGGTTCAAATGTTTAGTGGCTTCTCTACAGTCAAATTGTACTTACATATCCTAGCTTCCAGTGTCTCATAAGAAAGCCAAGAGATTTTTATTTAATGATGATTTCAGAAGAAAAACAGCACCATCAGTCAATATTAAAATCACCAGAACAAGATAATCTGAAAAACAGTCATTCATATATGTTATTAGAGTTTTACCTTTGTGATTAAAATTAAAATTACACAGATTGTGATGGAAGTTGACTTTTTGACATTTAAATGATTTGGTAGTTCTGTGATATTTGTAGCTGTTTTAATATTTATGTGCTCTGAATGTTTGGATGTTCTACTTTGGATGATCTGTATCTAAAAACATTTTCCCTAAGCCAGGAAACAAATCAATGTTTATTAAAAGTAAAGTTTTATGCCTAAAGCTTTCAATTCTGAATGCCATGTAAAATAAGAACTACAAACAGTTCTATGCTTTGCTAGTAACATATACTGTTCTGTGGGGGACAAAAACATAGGAGTGATTCCATGACTGAACATGACCTTATCAAGAGGTTGCAGTATTAGAGATTTTGTTTTTCTCTGCTAATACTTGAGAAGGAATAACTTCTCATAGTGTTTTGCCATAGGGTATGTCATGATGTTTAATGGAATAAATAAGGTGATGTGCTATCAGCAGTTGCAGCATTCAATTTCTATGACATGTTTTTCACCGAGAAAGTGCTCCCTGGCTTACTAGTATGTGAACTTTAAGGCTCTGATCTAGATAATTTTAGTTACTTTGATTTCATTATAGAAATTCCTAGACTACTTGTGGGATAAAACAAAGGCTGAGACCATATTGAATTTCAACAAGTTGAATTAGCAGAAAATAAAGATAAATGTTCTATTTAAAAACATGATGATGTTTTAATTGTTATAACATTTGGCATGCCTAATGTATACAATCCTTGACATTCATATAATAACACAAGAAAGTTGTTTGGGATTTTTCTTTAATTTCCTAGTGTCCCCTTTCCTCTCTAACATTTCTCCCACTCCTTCACCAGCCGTGGCCTTTAAGTCCCCTCCCTCTACTTCATCCTTCTGTAAAGATAAACCCTTTGCAGTGAAGGGATTCATGTAACAATGTCTTATTTCTATATAGATAGGCAAGGCAAGGTCACATATTACCTAGCTGTGATGAACAGACCACCATCGTTGTGACAACTGATGTAGATGCCTCCAGGGCAAAGCAAAGGTTTACATATTACACAAGCAATTTAACAGTTTTCTAAACATATTGCCAAGACAGTGGGAGTTGGCAGCCCACACTGTGTTTTAGGTTTTGGAGACTTGGATTAGAAGTGACTGTTGATTATGAACCTTTTTATTTGTCTTCTATGAACTACAAGCAACCTAGTAACCCAGGAAAGAATTCTTCACAGCACTTAAACTTGTCTTCCTAGCGTACCAAGATTACAAACACAAATCACTTGACAAAAGTGGTGTAAGTCTCTTGCGCATAGATAACCACACAAGACAATTGTCTTGTTCTAACCCTTAAAGAGTTCCACAAAGTGAAATGTTTTATAATCCTTTTCTGTGCAGTAGGCAAGGAAGAAAAGAAAAGAGGTTGGGCAAAGATTATCCAGAAGAAAGAAAGAGACTCTTTTGGGGTTCCAGTTGAAACACAATAAAGAACATAATTAACTTTACAATTCTTTGTGTTTTTCCTTTGACTGCAGGGAGGAGATGAAAGAGGACTGCTAAGCCTCGCATTCCATCCCAATTACAAGAAAAATGGAAAGCTGTATGTGTCTTATACCACCAACCAAGAACGGTGGGCTATCGGGCCTCATGACCACATTCTTAGGGTTGTGGAATACACAGTATCCAGGTATCACTAAAAGCCATCGAAGCATTAAAATTTGTATCTTATTTTCTCATCAACTTTTCATGAGCTTTTTTATTTAGAAGTTGCAAATAAGTAGCCATAAGGTGGCAATAATTAAATCATTATCTCCATCTTGCTGAAAACTCCATATGTGTCTTTAAGAGAAATTGAGAATGATGGTTTTGACATTTTTCCTCAATTGTCTTTTAACTTAAAGGCTACTTCTGAAACTTGGAAAATAATGTAATTTTTCAGCAATTTCTATTAGCTCCATTTCAAATATATGTTTACTACTTACTATGTGCCAGGAGTTTGTTTTCCCATTTATGTACTATTTACTTTCTGGCAGACTCACCTTACATATTTTAACAATCATGGCATTATTTTCTTCCCACAATGTAGAAAAAATCCCCACCAAGTTGATTTGAGAACAGCCAGAGTCTTTCTTGAAGTTGCAGAACTCCACAGAAAGCATCTGGGAGGACAACTGCTCTTTGGCCCTGACGGCTTTTTGTACATCATTCTCGGTGATGGGATGATTACACTGGATGATATGGAAGAAATGGATGGGTTAAGGTAAAAGGCTGATCACAAATGGGTTCCTCTCAAGGTTGAAATGATTTAAGTACCAGGAGAAAAGCTCAGCACCAGTGAATTAAGTACCATCTTTGAATGGTCACCTTGGTTAAATACTTAACTTGTGTTGTCAGCATCTGCATTTATGAAATGAAAAGGAATTCACTAACATGCTATGTGATCTTTTGTTTGTCATAAAAAGAATTAGTGTTGTGTAGTTCTCTGCTGCAGGGCTGCCTCTGCTACACATAGCACAGAGAAGCGGGGGCCCTGTGCATCCACACTGCCTCTCAACGCTGTGTAATGGGCTAACATCGCCCAGTGAAGCTCCTTGAGAGACGTAGAATACATAGGTTTAGGCTGACAAAAATTAAGAGAACAGAGTCAAAAAAAAAAAAAAAAAAAAGCAGTGTACTACTGATGCCACAGTCCTCAGCCACCATCACGCCGTGTCTTGGTTCAGTCGCTTGTCTGGAATGCCCCGGTTTCATTTTCCACAATAACGAATTTATTTTATTTAATTATTCATTTATTTATTCAAACAAGGGCTCACTCTGTTGCTCAGGCCAGAATGTAGCGGCACCATCATGGCTCACTGTGGCCTCACACCCCTGGGCTCACGAGATCCTCCTGGCTGCATGCCACCACATCTGACTCATTTTAAAATTTTCTGTAGAGATGGGGTCTCGCTATGTTGCCAGGCTGGCCTTGAACTCCTGGTATCAAACGATCCTCTCACCCTGACTTCCCAAAGTGCTGCCATTACAGACATGAGTCCCTGCGTCCAGCCACTTTAATAATTTTATTTCAAGTAACGAGATGATTCTTTTATCAATAGAGCAACCTCACCATATTTAATATAGATGAAATATATAATGAAAATGTAAAATACATGTTCTGTCCCCCAACTTCTCAGTGATTTCACAGGCTCAGTGCTACGGCTGGAAGTGGACACGGACGTGTGCAGCGTGCCTTATTCCATACCAAGGAGCAACCCACATTTCAACAGCACCAACCAGCCCCCTGAAGTGTTTGCTCACGGGCTCCACGATCCAGGCAGGTGAGAACACAAGTCTGTCTTCTCACTGACTTTAAAGCCAGGGAGGGATCTGGGAGCTGGGAAAACACAGCATAGAGCACATACCATCGTAGAACAGCCAAAGGTGGCATCTAAGGCCGTGCCTCTAAAGTCACAGCAGGTCGTTACTCAAGTGAGCATTTAGTACTCTGTCTTCTATTACCATGAGAAGCAGATTGAGAAGGCAGATTAGACAAGGAAAAGGACACATTCATCGAGAAAAATTCACTTCAAAATGTGGAGGGGTTACTATCAGATAAACACTATTGGACTAGTATAATGACCAAGACTTTAATCTGAACAGTTTAGAGAGATAAACTTTTTGATTTGTCTTCTTAAATCCCACTAAATCTTAAGTTCTTTATGCATTACATGGGGGTGAATAATAACTGCCTTGCAATGATTAAATAAAAATCTGTAAGTAAAGTACCAATAGTGTGTCTGACCCCTGGTAGGTTTTTAATAAATTGCAATTCTTATTCTCATAGCTTCACTTCAAATGTGATGCTGCAGTGTTCATTTGCAAGAAGTTGAGCTAAATATTAACTTTTATTTCACTGTGAAAAAATTACAAATATTAAGGACTCCATGTTAGGTATTTGTAGTATAGTGAACCAAAATAAAGAAAAACTAAAATGTATGTAAAGTGAGAAATTTGGGGTACATTCTTTTTAAATGCTATGAAGTATAATACAGCAATTCAGTGATGAAAGCTTCATCCAGTCTATGGCCTATGTGGCCACATTCATTCATTTACTAGGTAAGTTATTATTACCATTTAATGTTTATTGAGTGTTCACTATGTGCAAGGTGAATATTTCTCAAACCTTTTATTTTTATAATCCCTCATGCCCTTCATCTCCCCTCCATCAAAGCCCAAGTCTACAGTTCATTTCCTTTTTGGCATCTCAGCAGATCTTAAAATCTGTGCGACAGGGAATACTTAAGGTGGGTTCAGGATGTGGAGGAAACTGTCACATTCCATTCCTAGAGCTCAGAACTCACAGATACCACCACAAAGCAACACTTTGAAGTCAGCCAGCCTGAGTCACCACAATCCCACTGGAGCTTTCTCTCAACTTTCCTGGGGGTCCTGAACCTCAGTCCAAAAACACGGGATGAGGTGCTTAGAGACCAGACGTGTGGCAAGATGCCTGGGCCGCGGAGCCTCCCCACCTCTGGGGGCAGAGGGCTGAAGGAAAAGTTGGAGTTTATATTCCACCTCTCTTCAAGAGTATTCTAAGCAGAAGATGATTTAATGAAGCAGAAAGAAAACTAAATTAATTATTGGCTAAAAATAAGGCAAACTTTTATGAAGCACTCTACTGCAGGGTGCTGAACTAAGTATCCCGTGTACTTTATCTCCTCTCTGCTTCTCAGCAAAGCTCACCATCAGCCCCGCTTCTCCCACTTCCCTTTTATTAATAGACTAGTTTTCAGGACAGTGGTACATGCACAGCAAAATTGAGAAAAAGATACAGACATTTTTATATTACCCTTAGCTCCACACATGCATAGTCCCTCCCATTATCATCCCCCATAGAGTGGGACATTTGTCACCATCGATGAACTGACATTGACATGTCATAATCACCCGGAGTCCATGGTTTACATTAGGGTTCACTCTTGGTGTCATACTTTCTGTAGGTTTAGACAAATGGATAATGACATGCATCCACCATTATAGTGTCACTCAGAGAGTTTCACTGACAGGACCCTTTTTCACATAAGAAACTGAAGGTTACATGGGTCAAGCAGTTCTTAATGGACCTCGTATTCAGCCGGAGCCATAGTTCAAAGCCCCCAGCGACTCCACCTCTGTGAGGCCTGGCCTGTTTTCCAGATTTGCTGTTTCTTGTTGGAAACAAGTCAAACCTCTTTTTCTCATAGTTTCTCCATCTTCAAAGAAAGGTAATGGGGGAAAATGTTCTCCCCTCTGTGGACGTAGTTCCACCTTAAGACACAGCATGTCTCTGTCATGATCCCTGCCAGGCATTGTGTTCTGTGAATCATTGAACTAGAGAGGACAATAAAGGGACTGTTGCCACAGAACAACTAACCCATCTTTGGCAGGTCAGGCTTATGGTTTTCCTATCATGAATGGGATCATCTGGAGCCAAGAGTTTGTGTTTTGTTTTTTGTTTGTTTTTTTTATAATTGCTACATGACTCTTCTGTCTCTTAAGAACTAGCACCAACTCTCAGTTCTTTTATTTTATTTCTTACATTTCTTTAATAACTCCAATGGTTTGAGTTTGTTTTTGAGTAATTGATGTATTCTGTTGGCCTAGAACAGTGGTTCTCAATGGGATAATTTAACCCCCAGGGGACATTTGGCAATGTCTGGAAACATTTTTGGTTTTCACAGTTAGGGTGTGGTGGGGGGTGAGGGAGAGATGCCGCTGACCTTCAGTGTGCAGAGGCAGGAGACGCTGCAGAGCACCCTGCAGCTGGCAGCACAGCCTCCCCAGACAAAAAATTATCTGGCTCAAAATGTCAGTAGTGCCAAGACTGAGAAACCTAAAAACAAGGCAAGTCTGTTTTCCACACTTTTGGGAACTTCAAAAGTTGTATTAGTTAACTTTATTCTTCCCCCTCATGCCCAGTCCCTCAGCGATTTAAATATGCCACGAACCTTGAGCCCCTCTTATATTCCTGGCTTTGAACCAGATGATAGGAAGATAGTGATGAAGCTGCAAGTGTCACCTCCCCTTACGGAGCTTCCTATCGGTGGCTTAAGTCACAGAGATACTCTGGCCCCCATAAAGGGATGGAGAACATAAAATCAGAGTCAGCATAAAATACCTCCATGTTTGCAGGGACCAGCTTTACTGTATTCCCTGAAAAGGAGCACATGTTTTCCTTTGATAGAGCAGCCTAAGTTTTAGAATGCAGCAACTTCACGTAAGAAACCCAAAACGAATATTATAACTAATGTTGTATTGTGCAACACAGAGATGAGTTGATGGTGACTCTGATTTTTTTTTTTTTTTTACTTTAAGTTCTGGGATACATGTGCTGAACGTGCAGGTTTGTTACATAAGTTAACACGTGCCATGGTGGTTTGCTGCACCTATCAACACGTCATCTAGGTTTTAAGCCCCACGTGCATTAGGTATTTGTCCTAATGCTCTCCCTCCCCTTGGCCCCCACCCTCCTCAACAGGCCCCGGTGTGTGATGTTCCCCTCCCTATGTCCCTGTGTTCATATTGTTCAACTCCCACTTATGAGTGAGAACATGAGGTGTTTGGTTTTCTGTTCCTGGAAAGTGACACTGATTCTTATTTGCAATACTTCACCAGTGTATTATACATGTGATGTTCCTTAAGAACAGGCTCACAGTTGTTTTAAGACAGTATGGACATTTATAACAGAAGAAATTATAAGTCATAACAACAGAGATTAAGAAATATATTCCAGAGATTATTAAGCTTCAACCAAGAAAGCAAACACATCGGACTATTTCCTTCAGTGGTTTCTAGAAGATCCAAACTAAATTGCCGATAGGATCCTCACCAATCCACAAAAGTCTCCTTCCTATGTCAGGAGTCTCCAGTCTGAGCTTGGAAAAGATCACGGTAGGAATTAATGTGTATCCCCTCTTTTGTTATGCAGATGTGCGGTGGATCGACATCCCACTGATATAAACATCAATTTAACTATACTTTGTTCAGACTCCAATGGAAAAAACAGATCATCAGCCAGAATCCTACAGATAATAAAAGGGAAAGATTATGGTATGTAGAGCATGATTTGCTGATTTTGCTTTAATTCCAGTTTTGTTTTAGTATATTTAGTAATTGAAGAGAAAAGGATTTCTGAAAAATGAGCATTTGGGAAAGCATAAAAACACTGGCCTGACAATGATGAGGGAGTAAATTGCCCACTTTTTAAAGCTCCAGTGACTCTTACAAGCCCTGAGGGTTCCATCTGGTTAATTATCATGGGTTGAATGGTTCTCAGTAGGTCCAAAAAATTTAACAGGCCTTCAAAAGTTAGCAGCTTATATTTTGCTCATCAGAGAATCAAGATGAATAACTTCTATTCAATAAGGAAGAGCTTGTCTTAATGTCATACATACAGAGAAAGAACAAGTGTTAAAAGTTAAGATATTTCTCAATATCCAACATGCCTGTCTCAGTAGTTAGGGAAATTGTAAGTGATCCAGATAAAAATGTAATTTTTTTAAAGAAATGTTTATTTTAGAGAAAACAAAGTAATCAATGTGTAAAAACAAGTCATGGGAATGGGACATTTAAGCAGTATTTTTAATAACATGAATGCTTGAATATTTAGAGAGAACATGTAAAAATACAAAGTTGGATAATAATAAAGTTCAAAACACTTAGTATTTTTTAATATTTTAGAATTTATTCCTTTTGAAGGAAGCAATATATCAACCATTATTATGATTCAGGAAACACAGTAGATTAAGATTATTAAATTGATTGCTTCTTCTATTTACTCATTCAATATAGATATTTATTTAACACCAGGAATGAAGCAGCTGTGTTAGTTCATGTGGTATTCAGTTATTTTACTTTTTTTCAGGTATTTGTGTTTGTATATGTGTGTGTGTGTGTGTGTGTGTGTGTGCGCGCGCACGTACATGCACATGCATCTTTTAAAAGCCAAACCAAAGAGTAATGTGCTTTGAAAAAAAAAAAAAACCTAATGCCTCACTAGCTCGATGAAATTTTGGCTATATTCGCAGATTAAACTAAATTCTACAGTCACATTAATTGAGGTTAAGCTAAAATTGGTTACAATATCAACAGCCCTACATTTATGTATTTTTAAAACACATCTACAGTGCTTACTACATGCCAGACCCAGTAGTAAGCACTTTATACTCATTTCCTTTACAGAGCAACGCTACGTGATAGGCACTGTCATTGGCCACATTGTACAAATGAGGAAACAGGCACAGAAAGATTAATTTTCACACAATTCAAAGTGGCAGTGTCAGGATTTGAATCTGAGCAGCCTAACTCCAGTTTGTGACATAATTATTCAATTCTGCTACCTCTCAGTGTGCTCATTATTTAAAATTTCTCTTATCTTTTCTATCTTTTTGTAGCCTCATATATATCATAATCACATGGGAGGGAAAGAGGCCATTAAAATTACTATCTTTCCACAAAAGCTTTTGATAAAAGCTGTTGATAATACTTATTTGACATTAAACACATAAAAGGTAATTTTCATATTAATTTGCAAGTGGTTTTAGAGCTTTTCCAGTACAATTAGCATTCATATATTCAAGTATGTAATGGCATGCACAGAAAGATAGAGACACAGGCTGTACACATGTAGCTCAAGAGTTATTGAAATAGACTTTGTTATCCACACAACTCTCTGAACAGAATATTAAAATATTTTGAACAAAGATATTACTTGACTGAGTTAACAACGTTTTCACATATAGAATAAATGCGTGTTTAAAGACCTTTTATGTACTATGTTTTATTTTCATTAAAGTGTAGGCTTTTAAACATTTTATATATTTTGGCAGAGGTCTGTCTCAATTTACTTAATATATGCAGAAGCATTTCTACACAAAACTTAGTATGTAAAACCTTAAGTGTTTTTTTAAAGTATTTTGGTTCTAAAGTAAATAATCATGAGTCCCAAAATATCCAGATTCTGATTTCATAGAAAACTTGGTATGTCTTGAAAATTACAACAGCAAGCGTTTGCAGAGTATCCTCATTTCTCTAAACTGTACAAGGAGGTCTATTTTCATTAAATATGGAGACTATTTTCACTAAATATCTCTAGCAAGAATCCCTTTGGTATATCATAGAACACATTTCAGAGTTAAATTACTGTAGTAATTGTTGCTTGATGTACATTTCCTTTGACCCAGCAATCCCATTACTGGGTATATACCCAAAGGATTATAAATCATTCTGCTATAAAGACACATGCACACGTATATTTATTGCAGCACTGTTCACAATAGCAAAGACTTGGAACCAACCCAAATGCCCACAAATGATAGACTGGATAAAGAAAATGTGGCACATATACACCATAGAATACCATGCAGCCATAAAAAAGAATGAGTTCATGTCTTTTGCAAGGACATGAATGAAACTGGAAACCATCATTCTCAGCAAACTAACACAAGAACAGAAAACCAAACACCTCATGTTCTCACTCATAAGTGGGAGCTGAACAATGAGAACACGTGGACACAGGGAGAAGAACATCACACACCAGGGCCTGTTGGGTGGCAGGGAGGGTAAGGAAGGGATAGCATTAGGAGAAATACCCAATGTAGATGACAGGTTGGTAGGTGCAGCAAACTACCATGGCTCATGCATACCTATATAACAAACATGCACGTTCTGCACATGTACCCCACAACTTAGAGTACAATTTTTAAAAATTCCTTTTACTTTATGAATATATGTTTCATTTGATCTAATGCTATGTTTCTTTCCAGAAAGTGAGCCCTCACTTTTAGAATTCAAGCCATTCAGTAATGGTCCTTTGGTTGGTGGATTTGTATACCGGGGCTGCCAGTCAGAAAGATTGTATGGAAGCTATGTGTTTGGAGATCGTAATGGGTAGGTTACCTGATACTGCAATAAGATATACCAAATGACAAATCCATTAATCGCTTGGCAAACTGCCACAGAATATTCAAATGAGTGTCTCTTTTTGTGGATCAGATGGAGAACACACATAAATATTATTTACTTTTAGTTCCATAGATATAATGGTTTAGTTGAAGAACTTACAAAAAAAATGCTTCTCAACAGGTTTGATAACTTTCACAAAATAAATTTTAAGGCCATAGAAATCTTCAGATGGACTTTTCATATTATTTCGCCTCTTCCCTTCATCCTCAACATAAATTTACCATGACAATAAATAATTTGAAAACTATTGTTTTACCTGCTCTATAAATATTGTTTTAAATTATATTGGAAGGATAAAGATTTTTGGTTTTGCCAAATTTTCAGGATTTTAAGCAAGAGAACATAATTTGTCTCTATAAGTAAAAACAATACAAAATAAATTTTAATCTCAATTTGCAAGGTCACATTGTAGATAATTGTAATAAACTCTGATGAAATCCAAATTAAGAATCTTGTTTCCCAAGTCACTGGCATTCAGGCATATGGCAGAGCTGATACTCTTGATCGCTACTGGGAACTAGAAAAATGTACTGACCCCATGCTCTTCCCCTGTTCCTCTCTCTGATTAATAGCACAGCATGGAGTCTAGTCCTGGCGAGGAAGTATCATTCTCTGGATGAAGGGGAGGGCTTTTCTCATACTCAGGTACTTTTAGTGCCCCCTCCAAACAAAATACTATCTTTAAGTACTTTCTCCACATATGGGAATGTCACAGTACTCACACACATTATGGGCTATTTTATTTTTTTCTTTAGAAGCCAGGCCTATGGCAAAGCGACTGTTACGAATTTTATTTTAAACATTTTATTGTCGTCTTTAAACAAAAGCATGTTTTCATTGTAGGTTTATGGTATGTTTTTGTTGTAGGAATTTCTTAACTCTCCAGCAAAGTCCTGTGACAAAGCAATGGCAGGAAAAACCACTCTGTCTCGGCACTAGTGGGTCCTGTAGAGGCTACTTTTCCGGCCACATCTTGGGATTTGGAGAAGATGAACTAGGTACTGTATAAACTAGATTTGTTAAGATTCATCCTCACTTCTTTCAAGAGGCTTTGTTCTGCCCTGAAGAATAAATATAGCAATCTTATCCTCTACTTGTTGGGAATGTAATCTACAGCAAAGACGATCTACTCCAGAAATTAAGATGGTCCAGTTACATATTATCTACCAGTAACTTTTCCCTGAGGGCCTTTATATTTTATTTCCACACTAGAAATACTAAAATACAAGGTGGAAAAATGGGAAGTAGGAAAAAGAATTTTTTAGTCCTGAAGAGATAATTTTGTAACTGTTTAGTGATATTTTTTATTATACATCTCTAATAGAATGGAAATTATGTTAGCATGGGACAATCTATGGTATGACATATAATATGCATGTTTATCAAAATGCATGCAGCTTAACAAGCAAAAAGAAGTTGAAATTGAAACATGATCAATGAGTAAAAATTTTGCTATCTACTAATTTAAATTACAGAGGTAAATATAGTTTCATAGTGACTCCCTTTATATAAATAAAATAAATAAAAGTATTGAGAGTCTGGTATTTTGCATTTTTTTAACTATAAAGTCTGGACAGATTTGTTGTGAGGATTAAATGAGGTAAACTATAAAATATTTGACAAAATAAGTATTAATTCTCTCGCTTACATTCCTTTGCTTTTTACTTTCATTTTTATTTTTTCTATTGTGCCTACGTTTTTAGTACAAACTGTGTAACATCCTTTTCAGAAGTAGAAAAGTAGCAGGGTGTGTTTAGTGCACAATAATGGAGTGAAAAAGAAAAATATAGACTAAATCAAGGATTATTTCATGAGAGAGGACCAAATATAAATTTTAAAACTTATTTAAAGCTGTAATTATAAATATATCTTCTAATTTTCTATTCACATGATCAATTCAATACATAGAATTATATGAAAGTAGTGGTGATAAATGGGGTGGTTTCCTCCTACAAGAGTACCCCGTCTGTTGTATTTCACCAATTTGAACACAACTAACATCAAGAGTTAGAGTTTAGAGAGTTGAGACTGAGCATCAGGGTCTCTCTCTCTCTCTCCCCCCTCCAATGTTTATTTTAACATATTGTGTTGTACTTTCATATCTCCTAAAAAGCTAAAGATTAAGAAGGTGCAGCTCAATTTCATGTGGCCTCGAATTGTCAATTAATACTAACAACTTGATAACCAACACCTATCAGTCTTGCACATAAATAAATCAAGATAAAACTTGGCCATTCAATATTCATTCTACAAATATTTATTGAACACCTTCTGTGTGCCAAGCTCTGTTCTAGATGCTGGGGATGCAGCAGTGGATAAAGAGACAAAAAGTCTAAACTAGTGTCATGAAATTTATGTTGTAAAGGATAATGAAAATCATTTTTAAAAAATACTGCCTATAAATGGGTAATAAATACTTTGAAGAAAAATCTAGCAGTGAAGAGGAATTGTTGGGAGTTGAGGAAGGCGCAATTTTAAAGTGCAGTCAGGAAAGGTGATATTTAAGTACAGCCTTAAAGGAGGGGAAAAAGATTGATCTAGCGGAGACTCACAGAAAGATGGAGCCTGTGACAGGAGCCTGGAACAGCAAGAACCTGAAACAGGAGGCTGAGCTGGGAACCTGCCTCCCATGTGTGAAACCACAAGCAGGTGGGGGCTAGAGAGGAGTGAACAAGAGGGCAAAATGTTGCAGATGAGGTTATAGCAACAAGTGCTTCTGTCAGGACTTGCTTTTGCTCTGAATGAGATAAGAAGCTATTGCAGGACATTGAAACAAATGACTGTGATTTAACTTACATGATCTAACTTCTTTGAAAGAATTGCTGTGGCTAGTACGTTGAGAATACACACAGAAGAACAAGAGTGGCAACAGGGACCTCAGTTAGAAGGCTGTAGTCATAATCTAGGTGAGAAATAATATCTGCTTGCACTGAGTAGTGGCAGGATATTGCTACTACTAAAAGAGTGACTGGAATCTGGAATTCTGGATGCATTGTGAAGGCAAACTTGTAAGACTTTTGCATAATCTTTAGGCAAGGGATTTTCTTGTGGATAGATGGAGATAGATTTACATATAGAATATCTGCCAGGCAATAGGAAGTAAGGTTCTGTACTGCTGTGAATTTGCTTATTGTTATTTCTTTCTTTAACAGGTGAAGTTTACATTTTATCAAGCAGTAAAAGCATGACCCAGACTCACAATGGAAAACTCTACAAAATTGTAGATCCCAAAAGGTGAGATTTCTTTCTGTCCTATTAAGCCAAGTAATTTTCTTCTTTCAGTTATTTTAGTTCATTCAATTAATGACAGAAACATTACAATTAGCAATCAGCCAAGATGTCCACTTCCGCCATTTCCTTATGCTCAGCACTGTCCTGAGAGGATCCTCTTCCCCTGTCTAAGATGACTAATGCCATTATGCAGAGCTTTAAAAGCTCATTCATGTTGTTCTTGCTGTCATCACAGAGCAGCGTTATATTCATGGAATCAGAGTCCTCAGTTAAAAGCCAGAGAGGAGACTGACATGTGAGGCAGTGGCTTAGGCTCTGGTGTTGGAAGCCATAAACCCTCCTTATTGCTAAGAAAATGAGAAACGTACTGGCAGACATGACAGCTGCTTAGTATGATTTTTGCTAAGTAAACAGGTAAGTTACTTTGGCAGTTCAACATCTGAGCCTCATTTGGAAACTATCTGAAAAGCTCACAGTGCTCACGAAGACTGTAGTGACCAGACAAATAAAAACTTAGGGAGGGTTTTGTTATTCGCTTCAGCAAAAGAAAGATTTGAATGCTTTAATCCTTTAAAGAGTATGTTTATCTTACCCCTGGTCCTTCCCACCCACCCTTCACAACATGTATACATAGGTACTTCAATCATCTTGAATCATTACTAGTCCATTGTTAATTTCATGGATCAAACCTGAGCTATCAGAAGCTGCTAAAATTATATGTTGTCAAAAAGGCATTAGTCATAAATTTAGAAACAGCTAACCATAAAAAAACCTAAGGATCATCACAGACACCACTGTTGTTGAACACTAGGAGTTATCACTCTTCAGCCACACTGTGCTGCAAATTTCAGATTCCTCCTGCATTATTTTCATGAGCCCATTTTCAAATTTCAATTTCTGAATTTCAAGTTTCTTTCAAAAGAATTAATTCTAATAATCTGAAAAGTTTACTAAGGACATTTAAAAATATTCTTTGCAAATTGTAAATTTCGTATGTTTTTCTGAGATTTTTGCCCATTTTGTGATACCACAAAATGCTTTTCTGAGGGAAATGTAGATTTACATCGACTCTTGCGGAACAAAAAGAAGAATCAGTTCTAAACAATCTCTGGGCAGTATCACATATCACAACTTGATAACATTTCTTTTCTATTTAACAGTATACACTTTCCTTCATAGTAAGAAAAATACCCATCTATATGCTATAGCGATTTTTTTCCTCAAGTGTGAAATTAATGACCTCCATAAGAAAAGTAAAGACATTAAAGAAAAAAAATCAGACACTTAGGGGATTGTTGAAGTTGACAATCTTAAGAATAAAAATCAAACTAATGTTAATTCACAAAATAGCAGCATTCTAAAGATTCATAATGAGGTGTAGGGATTTCACTCAGATCTAATACAATTAGTTTCAAAACAGTCATTGCTATTCCATTACACTAAGCTGATATGTTTTTGCAAAGTACCTGGTAGTATCGTAATGGATTCTCTCTCCTCACAAAAATCTTTCTCTCTTCATCTGGATTGTTTAGTCTGTGGCTGAGTTGAGGTGAATTTTACACCTTCAATCTATTATTAGTGTCTAATTACCAAGGTTCCCATAAGGGACCTTGGCTTTGTGATCTTAGCTCTCCTCTAGTAGGGTGGTCTCAGAGTGACATACCTGAAGCCCTGACTTATTATGGTGCCTGCTTCTAGCGAGTCATGTCATGTGGGGGGCTTGGGTTAAGATTTGTGTTTGCTTTTCACGAGGTGGGGGAAGTGGCAGAGTCCCAAAGACATCGTCCTTGTACACAGACATGAGCATAAATTCCAAAATTAAACTGACTATAAGAAAACAAATGTTTTTATAAACACTTGTTGGGAGCCTCATGCTGTTTTGATTTGGCCATCAACGTTTATTATTATAGTATTTCTTCCTAGATGAGTTGAAGTTCTATATAAGCAGACACTTAAGTATATGAACAGGATTATTTTGGAAACAAACTAATTATAAGCATAGTAGTGTTCAGGATGTCTGTGTTAGAGCAGGATTGTTTTTCTAAAATTTTTGAGGCAGAATTTTATAAAAGAATCTTATCGACTAAAAAGCAATATATAGACATGTCTTGTTATACCACAAATTAAACTCTTAGGTTAATTATATTCTTGCACTGAAGCCCCCAGACTTGTTAGAATAATGTTTTCAGAATAACTTTCAAACATCAGTTGATTTGTGGCCCAAGAAGATAAAAGCAGCAAATTAGGAAATTATTATTTTCTGTATTATATGCCATAGAAGTTACACTCTTACCATAAGATTTATGTTTTTTCTATTTTTCCCTACATGTGCGTGCATGCACACACACACACACACACACGCACACACACACAGTGAGGGAGTTCAGAAACCATAGAAACTATATATGCAGTATCTCTTAAATCATTTTGGCAAAAATAGATAAGGTTCTAGTATTACCATCTCAGTCTGTAAGGAAAATTTGATCTAAGGCTATAAGTTACATAATCATTTACATAAGTTTCAAATCAATTACAGTGTGCAGCCATCTCAGAAAAGGATGGTGAGATACCCTGTTGTAAAAATTAAATGCCATCATTTAGCATGGAAAAAAATAGAAAATGCCTGGAACTCAGAAGTTAATTTAAGGAAAAAATAAAAGGAAACAAAAGGAACATTCCAAGGAAACAAAAAGGAATTAAGTTTGCCTCCATGTTAGAACATTGTATACACTTCTGGAATATCTTCAGGGATTGAACAGTCACATTGTGTGGCAGAGCAGAGTTAGGGTCAAATCAATACCAATCATCCAGTTGGCTCAGTCAACTCACAAGATCCATAAAGTCTCTAGTACTGAATCCAGCATGCCATAGGCTGGGGGTTCCTACAGCTAGCACCTCTGGAAAACAAATTTAGATGAGCTGCCACAAAATCTTGGCAATAATTTTACTTTCACTTAGTAGTGCCATCTGAAACCAGTCAAGACTGGGAGAAAGTCTAACTGGATAAGACAGGGAGTGGATTGATCTGGTCTCTAAATCTTCCTTAGTGTAGCACCCAGCACAGATTATTTCACCATACTGTGCCCCTTTGTCCATAAAATAATATATAGGTGATATTTCTGTCCCTGCTGCATGCTACAGAGGGCTGTGAAGGTGATTAAATAATATATTTTAAACATATTACATTCTTTAGTAATTTTTGTGTGTTTATTCTAGGCATTCCAGGATTATTTTCAGGTGATCTCTCAACTTTTAAGGTTCCTTTAGTTCCAAAATTGGAATACAGACCTTCATGGAGCTTCTAAGAACTCCCAGTATGGCCAGGTGCAGTGGCTCATGCCTGTAATCCTAGCACTTTGGGAGGCCGAGGCGGGTGAATCACTTGAGGGTCAGGCATTTGAGACCAGCCTGGCCAAAAAAAGTGAAACCCTGTATCCACTAAAAATACAAAAATTAGCTGGGTGTGGTGTGCATGCCTGTAATCCCAGCTACTCTGGAGGCTGGGCAGGAGAATCACTTGAACCCAGGAGGCAGAAATTGCAGTGTGCCAAGATCACGCCACTGCACTCCAGCCTGGACAACAGAGTGAGACTCTGTCTCACAAAAAAAAAAACTTTCAACACGTAGTTTTCAAATGTCCAAATTATACCTTGGATGCTTGCTCTTTGCTAAATCCTTTTAAAATTACACAAATGTTCCTGGGGGTGGAAATAAAAGAATTCTGACAGTTATGTAACTTCCAAGATTTATTTTTATAGAACACAAATTTTTTCATGGTATTGACAAATATTCTTTAATTTTTCTTTTAGATGAACTTAAATCAAATGACTTTTTTGTTTTGAAATGTTTCCAGGCTTTATTTCTCCAGGAATTTGTAAAGGAAAATTATTCTCCATCATGTTGATTTAATTACTATATACTCACTCTTGCTATATTTTAACATACCATTTATCTGTTACCCAACCAAGTCACACAGACCATTCCCTTAAGACGCCTATAAATTAACAATGCAAATTCCAGGCTCGAGAGGTCATTTTACAGAAACATTGTATTCCCAAACTCCTCTGTGACCAATATCCAAAACTTCCCCTCATACCTCTTCCCCCTATGGCCCACTTACTGTCCCTTGTTTATTGTTTTCTTAATATCTTCATCCTACTTCTTATTACACTGGATGCTAAAGAGTGCTTTTTTAAAAAAAAAAAAAATCACTTTATAAGAGGATACCGTTCTGTTTATCCTTCACATATGTCTCAGGGAGCCAGCAGGCAGCTCTGCCATCCTAAAGAAAGTCATACATAATAGAGCAGCTTTAGCCCAATAAGCCAGTCTAGTCCCAATTCATCAGTCAAAGTTTTATGCAAGTGGCCCCCCTAAGTTGATAAATTCCCACAGTGCCTGTTGACCCAGCTGCCAAGTCCTCTTGCAGCAGGTGGTGTTTTCATGGCCACCCTGACAGTAATACAAACTGTTTAGCAGCTCCATTGACCTTTCAGCTATTAACAGGGATACAGGCTCCACTAGGGACTAGTTTTCAAACATGACAGAATTTCTTAACACTAGAGGTCATGAACAAGTATATGCCCTATAAAAGTCCATTCAGCATGGTGGATTTGAAGTCTAAGAGACAAGGAAACATTTTCCACATTTCTGCTATCATCATTATTCTATGTATCCAGTAACCAAAGATGGATATACACTTATCTGACTGATAATATTTTATTCTCAGTATACTAGATTTCCTGTTGTGGTGCACAATACCTTTTCAACTAACAAATCCCTCCCAAGCTGCCATATAGCATCTGAAATTTTAGAGATATACTACAACAGAATTGGATAAGATCAAAGTCAAAACTTCTAATGAATGGATGAGCATGCATACATAATAGATGGTAGCAGCCTGAGCATAACTAAAATTTTATTTATACTTTAGCAAGATTTGCATACATGTACATGAGTACAGACATACTTAAACATACGGGTAATACATGCAATGTTATGTA